GGACTAAGATGATTCACGTTTCACTTAAAGTCAACTGTACAGGCTGTTCTGCAGAGACCGCCTGTAGCTTACCATGCACTTGGACATGTTCCAGTGACTTGGAGTGTGACAGGACTAGGGCAAATCTGAGACACTTCCCTGTGGCCTTTTGTACTCCAGCAGCTGTTCACAGCGCAGGCTGCTGGCAAGAGCAATAGCAAGCAGTCCTGGGAGTTAACAAAAAAGCTCTGCCCCTTCATGGGGGCACAAACTCAGGCTTGGGTCACCAGTGAAACTGTTTGGTCTGATCATTTAAGCAATTCTGCAAAACTGCTGAGCGATTGTTCACTAGTGCTGGACCTTCAAAGGACATGCCAAGAGCCACTGTAATGAATGGCTGCTGCAAGCCAAGACTGAAGGAGTGTATAAAGCAGCAGCCACACATTGCCAATCTTTCCAATTTTCACATACAACCAGGGTTTTCACATACTCCATGTGTTTTCCAATTTACGATCACATTCCATGCTTTTGGAAACATTTTTATACCCACTATTCAACTAAAAAGTGTCATCATAGAATATGACATTGAGTATTGAGATTTCACACATTCTCAAGTAAGGATAGCAAACAGTATTTTCTTTGAAGTCATGTGCAAAACCCACAGCAAGCTTGACATTCAGAAGTAAACAAAGACACCTCCAATGCTTTTTTGGGTGTTTCTAGAGCTTTAGGGTGTAACATGGGTAAGTCACCACTCCCACGTGTTCCTATTTTCCTCAGGATGCTTGGTGCCATTTTTTCCTGAGGCCATCCCAGGAAGTCCCCTCATCCTCTGATCCCTCAGTGAAAGGTGCTGCTGTCCCAGTAACTCTGACAGGGCACCTCTGCTGCTGAAACCACTGCTGAGAGAGGGCCCTTATCTGCAACTCAGTGTTACCATCACACAATGGTATTTCAGTGGCTGGTAACAAGTATTTCTGTTTGTAGCCTTGGAGTTGCTAATGTCATAGGAATGTTATAAATAGGTTTACATAAAAGTCTTGAAACAAGTAAATAAATTCTTATTAGTGTAATTCTGAGCAACTTTAGACATGAGCCACAATCCTGTAACTAAATGACTATTGTCCTCCCTTACCCCCTCGAATTTATAACCTAAATGCTCATTTTCAAACTTATGCAAACTTCACAGTTGACAAGATTTACAAGATGTCCTGTTTACTTCCCTTCTATGGAGAACAGACTGAGCAGATCATCAGTATAAGCTTAATAAAGGCAGAAAAGTTTATCCACAGCAAATCCAGCTTAGCAGTCTGATACAAACCAGATATAACTATTTTTTGTTTTGTAGGAAAACACTTATTCTAGTTACAGCAGTTCTGGAAGCACCAGGGCTCTTCTGGAGACACAGCATAGGAATTCTGTATACCCAGCTTGCAGAGCAAAGAAAATGCTGCAAGAGTCACATCAGTGTAGGAAAATGCTCACTCACTGAATACAGAGATCACATGATACTAGACTACAAAGACTCAACTCTTTTGGCAACGAAATTGGCTCTCAAAATTAACATTCACGTGAAACTGGGGGTAAATAGTAGGACTACCCCAGTGGCTGGGAAAAAATGGAAGGGGATTCACCTCTTCAGAGTGAACTTTTCTTCCCTACCCTTCTGCTTAGGAGTTTTTTGGTTTGGTTTGGTTTTGGGGAGATTTTTGTGGGGTTTTTTGGGGGGAGAGTTGGGTTGGATTGTTGTTTGGTTTGTTGTTTGGATTTTTTTTTTTTTTTTGTGGGGTTTTTTTGTTTTCTTTTTTGGTTGGTTTTTTTTTTTTGGTTTTTTTTTTTTTTTTTTTTTTTCTTTTTTGGTTGGTTTTTTTTTTTTTTTTTTTTTTTGTTTGTTTGGTTTTTTTTTTTTCTTTTTAAACTCAGACAAACACCTGTATTTATGTAGCTTTAGTACCAAAGGTATTTTCAGTCACTTCCAGGAAAATCTTAGCCAACCCTTGCCAAGGAGCTTTATTGGGAGAACCCTTTGAAGAGCCACTTTCATTTGGCTCACTGCAACCCATAGTCATAATCCACCAGATCTGACTCAGAAGCACAGCAAAAATGGCCTAAGTAGGTCTCCTGATGGTGAGTGTAACTTGGAGGATAGGTAGAATGTGTAACTTGATCAGGCTTGATTCAAGCCTCAGGTACAGTGTAGAGCAGAGGGAGCTGCAGCTCTGGTTAAGCTGTGCCAGTGCACAGACATAACCTGAGAGTAAAGCTCACCATGCACATAAAAAATAAACATGACACCTATGTAAATAACTTGCTAAGGGGAATTTTTGTGGGGCATGTTTTACCCACAATGTAAAAGCAAAGCCATTGCTCATTTCTCTCAACATTTACACTTCCACAAGTGTACAAGAAGATGGTTTGGAAACAGACACAAAAATCTGAGACTACATCATTGTATAGCACACAGCCTCCAATGTAAAGTTCTGTAGAGGAACATTTCCTGAATAGCTGTGGGACACTTATGGGCATACATACAATTGCTGCAATGTTTTCCACTGACTGGAAAAATAAAAAGGAAAATCTATACCCTTCCACACAGTGCCATGCCTGAAAGGTTACAAAGAAAGTGAGTCTAATGTATCAGTATCTCTAATGTAACAGCATTTCCTTCAAAAACCTCAATACTTCAAAAATGTATTAAACACACCCAGATGCACCCTTTGCTGTGAAACTGGTGAAACCACTTTCTTATTAAGTTTTTCAGATGCTTAAAGTTAATCATATGCATAAATACTTACACAACCCCTCAGGATACACAAGTGAAATGAAGGAGTTAAGGGTATGTTAGGTCAGTACTAAAAGTTAGTGAATCTTAAAAATATTTTTCCAGACCAATATTTGCTGCTAACACCATGGAACTTTACATTAATATTTTTTTCTAAGTTTCAGATTTTTTAAAGCCAAGGCTAATAGTGATAGGTGAGCTGAGTTGCAAATTTTATTTGATGTAGAAAGCAGCAAGCACTTTGGTATGCAAACCCTTACCAGGAGGAGGAATGACAGTCATGAAAAAATGAATACAAGTTTGAATCAGAAGTTCAAGATTCTGGGTTTTTGTTTTTTTTCCATGTTTCATGTATGACCTTGGGAAAATTACCTGATCTTCTCATGTCTAAGTATTTCTGCCTGTGAAATAGAGATAATATGCTCTTCATCATCATGTGCTACTCTCAACCAGCTTTTACAGTTTGTTCCAAGATTCACAACTGGAAATAATTTTTTCCCATTTTTTTTTAATTCATGTTTTCTTCCTTTACTGTACAGTTATCAAAACATCTAAACTACACTGTCACATATGAAAGACACAGATTGTTACTGAAGGGGATAAGGCATTCTTTTTCTCAACAGAAATAATTTACAGATGCCCACCACACAGACTTCATTTGCTGTTTACAGGTAACATGAGTAAAGTAGAATCAGGCATTTTATTGTTAAGTTGTAACTAAGAAAAATATGTAGCATGCAATTGTGTATATGTTTTTGATCAAAAACCCTATATGAAATAGAAAGGTTTGTCCCTTGAAGTTAGCAAAGTCAAGGTGGTAGAACCATTTTTAGGGTTTTCTGCTTTTTTAATGGGGCAGAAAGTGTTCATGGAAGAAGGGAATCCTTGACCAGCAGTGCCATCCAGGAAACAGGGGTAACATAAACTGGGTGAAGCACTACAAAATCAAACCAGCAAGATTTCCACAAACTTCCCTGAATGCTGCCTAGAATGAAAATCAGTGAACACTGTATGGTTTAGCCAGCTCTGAACATTAGATAGTTTATTCTGCCCTGTCCAGACATTAGTTACACTTCCAGGACCAACTTCTAATTTCATGCACAAAAGAGCTCCATTAATACAAAAGGATTTAAATGCGGCACTTCATCAAACTTGAACTCCAAGAACTGTTAAGAATAAAGTGAGGCTCGCCATGAAAGGAGGGAAAGAAGGCAAGAATAAGACTATATTCTTAAAAGAAGCATTTCTAGTGGCTGGAGCATGTGGCTATTATCACAGCATGCCAGAATCTCTAAGGTAACTGTCCAGTGCTGACCTGTGACTCCGAGGAAATCAGTTCTCATCAGAGTCCCAGCAGTATTAACATACACTAGACTGGTCATGGTTATAAACACATAACCGCAGAATAGAGCATATGACAATGTTTTCAGTAATACCTCTTCCCTTATTTGTCTGTATTAGATATGCTATGCAAGTTCACCTTTAAAGAAAAAAGAAAATAAGAAAGGTTTAAAAACAAACAAAGAAAAATTGGTTTTCTCTTTGCAAAAAGTTTCAGATCTAAACTTACAAGTTCTTTTCCAGTGTGACTGCTCACCTTCATCCTCTTGTGCAGACTGCAGAAATGCTGCTTAGCTCAATCCACATCTCTTAGGGATTCTTCTCATTTTCCCTACTTCCAGCAATGAGGAACAAGTCAACTCTTCTCTAATTAACCCACAGGGCCAGAGGGAAGGCCCTTCCTTACACTTTCCATGAAGCTGCTAAGAAATAGCTGTTTGTCCCTTCACTTCCCTTTCAAACCCTGATCTCTTGATCAGGACTCAGCTCTTCTACCTGCCAGGTTCTGCAGTCGAGCATTCCTTGACACTCATCTCATGGACAGTCCTGCTTTCAAGCCCTCCCAGCAGTATCACCATCTTCTTCTAACTTTTAGTAGTTCACTCTTCTAGTACCCCCTTCCAAGCAGCCCCAATGCCCTCAGGTGGCAAAACCAGCATGAATTAAACACACTTCTCTCCTGGCTTTTAAAGGAACTATTTATGCTTCTACCTTAACACGTAAACAGATGGAGTCTGGGCTTATAATAACCCTCCAACTGTGATTTAAAAATATGAATCCTTTTGATGCTGCTGTCCTCAGCTGAAGCCTCTGACAGAAGCACATGGCAGAACCCTTAATGTGTATTGATAGATCTTATTCGAAGTGCTATTTTCCAGATTCACTTGTTAAAACTCACTTTCTGTTGCTGCTCAGTGAAGTAAGAAGAGAACTTAATCTGATGAAGGACAGAGCTGGGGTAGTAGCATCAGGCAGATTGGTGGTTCATCACATTCACTGCATGGATTCCTTTTGAAAATCATTCCTCTGAAAAAGAAAAAGCCACACCAGCCTTTCAGGTTCAGGATCATTATGTTCAGTTAGATGAGAAGTAAGTTTCACACAGAAAGAGCTGCTCTCTTTAGGCACTGTAGATACCAGGTTTTTTTCACCTGAAGAAATTAGAACCATGTAAATTCCATGAAACACGATGTGAAACTCCATTTCAATAAATCACACCCACTTTAATTCTTGCTTTAACCCAAACTGTAATGGTAGACTATGACTAAAATAAGAAATAAGAAAATACAATTCAGGATACCCATTAGCAATGCATCAAAATAAAATAACTGCAAATAAATCAGGGAATCCAAAAATTTTGAAAAACAGTAACTTCACATGAAACAGGCATCTTCTCTTTCTGTTTGTAGGCCAGAAAAGGGACTCAGAGTTACCATCTTGTGTCAGATTTCTCCTTGCTCCTTTCACTGAATCCTTCATTTTCCTCACATGCAGGAGCCAGACCATAATGACACCAGAGACAGGGCTAAGGAGGCCATAGCTCATGTTACAGAGCTGCACCTTGCAGATTCCCTTCATTGTGCTGTTTTCTGAAAGAGTACCATCACAGCTGAACCTGCTCCATTTTCACTGGGTCACAGTACAAAGACAGCTGCTTCTTAGAGCAGTTCATGAACGTGGCAACAGAGCGAGCTGCCTGAATTCCAGCTTGTAAAAATAAAATTACTGCAGGAGTTTTCAAAATAACACAGCTGACTGTCCAGTGTCACTGGAAGCCATTTCTGGGAAACCCAGGATTTGGGGTTTAGGATCAGGGCATTTCTTTAGCCAAAAGATGGTCAAGGCCAGATGTCTTACCAGAACAGCCATACAAGTAGGAATGGCATTTACACCAGTAAAGACTTACAGCAAAAGGATTTCGAGAATTCAGCCATACAAGGTGGATCCTGATGAGAACTGGGTTTCTCATCCACTGCTTAAGGAGAATTCTCTGAACAGAAATCATGGTAATTAAACAACTTCATGAGGATCATTAATAAATTCTGAATCTTTCAGTTAAAAACCAAAAAGTCCAGTGGCAATCCTCTACTAAGCACTTTGTGTCTGTGTGGCTACTTGCTTACGATTTTCACGATACTAGTATTTATTCTCCAGTTTTGTATCTCAGGACTAGAGACAGAAATTTGAAAAATTATTCTAGTGGCCCAAAGGACATTCAATTGAACTTCAACAACTGAAAATCTTTGTAAGACCCAAATGTGACACTCACAGCTATAAATATACAGTGTAAGTGACACCACAGTACACTGAAAATGTTGGTTGATTTGACAAGTCAAGAGGACCCCTTAATGTTTCTGTTTCAACATGTGACTAACTTGCAGGCACTTGTCTTTCTCTGCTTCCTCCTTCCAAGAGCTAGTGGCTTGATTCCAGCAGAATTATTTGACTTCAGTAAAATTTGACTGTTACTAGTTTACTTGATTGAAACTTGAAAGAGCTCATGAGTGGAAAAAAGCTCATCACTGAAACTTTTATTCTGTTCCCTTTACAACTTATATCCAGCATGTAAAGGAAAGGGCTGAAGAACAAAATAACAGAAATGGAATAAAGAATAAGACATTCCTGCTGACTTGTCTGGAGTTCTATTCTTGTTAACTCATGCACTGTTTTAAATACTGGGGGAATTGAAACAGGTTACTTATACAATAGGATCCTGAATTTGCATCACACTTGTCCTCCCAGAGCGCACTGAAAATCAGTTGGAAAGCTTGGCTGACCCTAAACAAGTCTTGAATTACTGAAACTGCCAATAAAGCTACAAAATAAATTTATTTTATTTATTGTGATTGTACAGATACGGTCTAGAACATTTTTCTGACATGGTGTGCCTTTCTTTATTAGTCCATTGCTCTGCTTACTGCCTGAACCATTGTGCAAGGACAGAGCTGATTGCTCAGTTACTGTCTAGTGAGTTGTATATTTAGCACTTGACCATCAAGGCATTCTTGATCTTTCTTCAAGGTTGGGCGCTGCGATGCCAGAAAGAAGAAAAACATATACCAGCACTCAGGCTCCAGCAGCAGCTAAGTTAAACTTAGCTCACAGTTTCCTCAGCAAAATTTATCCCAGTTTTCATCCCAGTGAAAACTGCTTCAATAAATCAATGGGCTCAACTGAAAAAAATCATCAGCAGCTCAAGGCACCAAGTAATCAAACTGAACAAGACTGCTACTCAGCTGACACTGCGTTAAGTATCAAAGATGGTTCTGAGTCAGAGTAGGGCATTAACTCCTTCTGTGCGTTGGGCACTTTGATTTAGCGCAGTACCCAAGATTATCTGTAAAAGGTCATATCATTTACTCTTGGAGTGCTGCAAGGCAAATTCAGGAAGGTTTTGCATGCTCAAACAGAAGACTAACAGTGCCTGTTGTAAGAAAGATGCAACGATGGATTAATGAATCTTCAATGGAGGGATGCAGAGAAATACCAAAGGAAACAAGTGGGAAGAGATTCACCTTTCCCTTTATAGGAAGAGCCTGCATTTACAACTGAGTATTTACAGTTAAACAATGAGTTAGAATTAAGAGGACACCATTTGTTTAGCCAAACTAACTGAAAATATTGATTTTTAAGAGTATTCCAGCTTTTCTTCTATCTAAAATCAGTGCACAAGACATTTGTGCTGACATTTTGAGGCCAGATTAGCCCAAATTTATCATGAAAGTGGTGAGGGTTGTAAGTCAAGCAGCATTTCTGGGGATCATCCTGCTGACAGTCCCTCTTCAACTACCTACTGCCATAACTCTGTTTTCATCCCATACCAGCAATGTTATGCTAATAATATAGCCCAAGGAAATGATAGGAACAGTCCAAGGAGGTTATCATGTGGACAGCCTTCTTCTTCATGTTTGAGCAACGCTCTAAAATTGCAATTCACAATGTTCTATTGAACTGTATGTAACAGCTTCACATTTTGATTATTTTGTTTGCATGTTTGTTTGCTCTTGTATGTGGGCAACACTAGGAAGCCTGCAAAATTATTTAGTAAGACTGAAAATAGGAATGATGAGTCTCTATCTTACATGGATAAAATTATTAAAGTCACTAAAAATATGATTCTCATCTGAGCTGTGCTTGCCACACGTTCCTAAGATTTTCTGCAAAAGAAAATAATATGGGAGATCCAAAATATTAGATTCCTTTGGCAGCTTTTTTGCCAATGCCAGAACACAATCCCACATAAATCAGACTGTTAACTGGACATATCTAAAGTCCTAATTTTAAAGAAATTCCTCCTAGTCTTTTGTCAGAAGGGAATTGAAAACTGTGAGTTGTTTTATAAATTGCCCATTTATTTGCCAGTGTCAGAAGGAACAAACCACTGACTCTCCTGCCCCCTTACACAGCATGTGCAAAGAACTGGGAAAAACAGAACTGCTAAGCAATCACAAATGGAACAGCCTCATTTACTGGAGCTGTTACAGTTTGGATAAATGACAGTGCAAGTGCAGGCCAGATCTACACTCTGAATGTTCTGTCTGAACAGTCACATCAGTGTTGCCACAGAGAAATAACACCTACACAGCCCATCCAAAACAAAGGCAGTATCTTCTTCCCAGTTACTTGTCCCTCAGTAGGGGCTCTCAGACAGCCACACTCATCACTAGTTTATTTCTGAACTCAGAACTCCTTCAGCTGGGCAGGGAGTGAGATGAGATGTCAAAAGCATTATTCCAGGAGAAAGCATATCCATACTTTGTGCTGCAATGTCTGTACTTTACTTGATAATTTTTCTAATATCATCACTGGTGAGGAGCCACTCAGTACCTGAGGAGGCCAGCCTTGCTGGGTAGCAGTCATTATTTTAAGTTTCCATCCGTGGTGGTTGCACCTTCAGTTTAAAATTACTGCAAATAAACTGTGCAGACAGCTTACTAAAGTACCTGATAAACCTTATGAAACCATACTGCAGACATTTATGGAAAATGAGGGGCCTATTTACAAGAAAAACAATATTTCTGAGACTGATCTGAGGCTGAACAGCTGATGAAACAGTTTGGAAGATCAGATTGTGATTAGAACAAAGGATAAAAGATCTTGCAGAAAGCCTTGCAGAAAATTAGCCCTTGACAGAACTATCTGAGTTTTCCAGTAAAGGAAATTGACCAGGCTGGAATGAAACTCATGGGTCAAAAGCAAATCACACTGAGTGAGTCACTGAGGAAAACAGACAGCTAAATCTATCAGTAAGCTACTTTCCAGAAAGCAAATAGGATTGTTTGCACAAGATGGCCCAGCCAGTGTAGTCTCAGTGCTGAGCTTTTCGTAATGAGTGGTGACCCTGATGGTGTTTCAGGGAACTATTCCAAAGCCATATTTCTGAAACATCATTTAAAATACGTCTTTAATACTGTCACTGGTGCTTTCTAGAAAAATGGGACAGAGGATTTTGTCCCTCCAAATGGCAGGCACACGTTTCTGGGAACAAGCCTGCAGGCTGTTTAGAGTGCTGAGCAAGTAGAGCTCCCTTACTTTCAAGTTCCTCAGCCTTGAGAGACCTATGGAGAAACATACAAGCTTGTGTATTTCATCCTGTTTCAAACAAAAACAAAGTCTGAAGCAAAAACTGATCCACCACTCATCAGAACAGGATTATTGGCCACTTCCCAGTCATCCTTGCTGATATTTTTTACCAGGGAGCGGAAAATCAGGTTATTGAAAGCCTTGGAAAGGTTCAGTTTTAAGTCCTTAAATCTAAATATGATTTTTTCTATCACACATAGAATGGGATAATCTAACAGAACATCACGAAATAGACATAATTTCCCACCATCTGGATCATGTTTTCCAGCCTAAATCACCAAATATGCTACGTTATGAGGTTGCTCACCTCATCACAAGAAGCAAAACGTTTCCATTGGGGATATAAGCCAACTTGTCAGTAGAATATTTTTGCTACTACTATTAAGTCGCAATCCATATGAATATGAATTTTGGCCAAAGATAAATGCAAAAATAATTTAGATTAGTTTTTCCCGGCCTTGTCTATGCATCCTGTACATTGGACTTAAAGCGCAAAGAGACTTGAGGTTCCGTAAGACGAGAAACACTGAACATGAACTGCGAACCTTTTAAGGTAGGACCTATTTCTAAGTAGGCAGGAGCCGAGAAGCTTCTCAAAAGGGCCGTGTACTTCAGCGATTCCACTGCTGCGTTTACCGCGGCCCTTTCGGCCCCTCAGCGCGGCGGGGCCGTGCCGCCCGCGCCGCCGCCCTGTCCCTGGTGCTGACCGGGCCCTGCGGCCGCTCGGCACAGCCGCTCCGCTGCGGAGCCAGCGCGGGGCCCTTCCCAGCCCGGGGAATTCCCGCTCCGGGGAAAATCCCAGGGGGCTCCGATGCCACGGGGTACCGCACGCGTTTCCTGCGGTTCAACGATTGGGAACAGGCTTTTCTTTTTTTTTTTTTTAGATTTTTAACAAACTCATAAAGCAGTGTCTCTGTCATTGCACTGAGAAAACAGCTGACTTTCTTGCAGGCTGCTTCGGGGAGCATAACATAAAAAGCCAAAAAAGCAAACCAAACAGAACTGCTGAATAAGGGGATGTATGGAGCGGGCTGCCTGGTCCATGACAGCACTCAGCAAGACCATGTGAAGGCACCACAAGGCTCAAACTCTTAAATCATCTCAGCATCAGTATCCTGGTGGGCAATTAAATTGTTCGTTCTGCATTTTGTGTCTTCCAAACCCTTTGTCTTCTCTCGGGACGTCGTTTTAACTTTTCCATTTAACTAAAACGACCATTGCTTAGCAGCACCAGTGAAATCAGTGGGGGAAAACAACCTCGCTTCCACTTTTCCTACGGGTCAGTGAATGAAACCACCGTTTTCACTCGTGTTCCGGCAGCGAGCGAAGGGGCTGAAGGCTGCGGGCTCCACGCCCGCAATTCATTAACGCACAAGGTTCAAGAGCTTTTGCTGAACTTGGGCAGGACAGCAGCTCCTCCCGGCCGCCCTTGCCGCCTTCCAGAGCGTTCCTGGTCCCACCCGCGGGCGCAGCCCCCCCCCCCCCGCCCCCGCCGCCACTTCCTCCCTCGCATCCTTCCCTGAGGGCTCAGACGCGGAACGCCCGCCCCCCGGGATACCTGCTGCCCCGGAGCTCGGCCGAACCGCTCCCCAGAGCTCTGTGTAACCTTCCCGCTCTGCCACCACGGCCCCGAGGTGATCTCGGCCCAAACTCGGATATTTACACACCGCCGGTAGCGGCTTCTCGCGGATCGGTCCCTGCGCCACCGCTTGAGGCAAATCCCCTCCCGCGGCGGCTCGCCCGCCCAGCGCCCCCTCGCGGCGGGACGGGGAGCGGCCGCCTCCCTCAGCGCGGCCCGGGCGCTTTAAAGGCTCCACCTGTGGGGCAGCGGCTCTTCCCTCGTCACGGGGCGGGAGGGTGCCTCAGCGCTTCCCTCGGCCCCGGTCGCGGCCGCCCCCTGGCTGCGGGGCCGATGTCCGTGGGTGCGGGACCGGGACCCACCCGGCGCGGCCCGGGCTGCGCTGCGCTGCCGGAGGTGGCGGGGGGCGGCCGCTCGGCCCGGAGGTACCGGTGAGCGAGACGCTGCGGTGCAAGGTGGGTCGCGCCGCGACTACAGCGTGTCTGTAGTGGAAAATTAAACCCCGGACAGCCCTTACTGGGAAGGCAGAAGTGAGTAGGCGAGGCTGAAGTGTAACTTTTGGGAGGCTGCTTAGTTATCTTGCACCCTTGTGGGTGTGTAGGCGCACCGCTACATCAGCGTGCTGTGGTGATCCCTGAGGAATCTGCGATGGCCAAATGACACTGACGGCGCAGGATCCTTCTCCTAAAGCTCGTAGTGCGCTCCCCGCGCTGTGCCGCACCTCGGGCTGTCAGGAGGCAAAGCCTGCGCTCTAAGAGGTCCTGTGACCTCGGTGCCAGAGCTCGGCCCCTGGTCTGTGTGGCGCTGACTGTGATGTGTTTGGATTTTATTTCGTTCGCTGTTTTCTCTTTCCTGAGGCCAAATAGTCAGTTAGGTTCCCTTGCAACAAGGCGCAGATTCCACTAGTCACGGGATTGCTGTAAACTTCCCTGATTTCAGCCCAGAGTTGGAGAACAACAATGAAAACTGAACAGCAACACATATTGCAGACTTCTTTTTCTGCCTCATGTACATATATCAGAAACATAGCCCTGTGTTTTACTCCAATTTGCTGCTATTGACTCATTTTCTCACCTAAAGTGGGTAACCTAAGTGCTTGGTTATGTTTATAAGTAGGAAATTATTTAAACAACAGGTGCTTAGATGTTCTTTACCTTAAAAGAATAATTTATCTTACCACAGGGAGGTAAGTACCATAGAAGTCTTAAGTATTACATGGTGTAGTGAGTGTCTTTAAAAACAATGACTGAAAAGCTGGTAAGATGAGAATGTACTAACATACACCTAAATCTTTACAGTCTGGAAAGTTATCTTCCCCTTCCCTTTCATGGTGAATCTGTCTCTCCACAGGTTTCCAGTTTAATACAGTTACCAAAAAATCTTCATATCTTTAAAAGTTTAATTCTGACTAAACTGGGTTGTATACCAAATCTTTTATGGTAGTGAAAGGAGGTTGGTGTAGGGGAAAAAAAGGCCATGCAGCAGAGGAAAAAGGTGTGAAATACAGGCTGGGTTTTTTCTTTTTTCTTGATAAAGATGGAAACAGTTATGGTGAAGGATCTAGAGGGAGGGGTAGATGGCAAATTCAGTTAATTGGTAAAGAGATACTGGCAGCAGCAAACAGCCAAACAGGAAACATTAGAGCTGCATTTCTGCAGGTATTATATTATAGAGAAGGAAGATAATATTCTATCATTATATTGCTCTAGCATATCTCCCCAGCATTATCAGCTTTTTCTGGAACCCACAAAGCACAGTCTTAGTAAGGTATTGACAAAGCAGAATGTGGTGAAGCCAAGTGTGATAGAAAATTTAGTGGCTTGAGAAAGATCAAGACTTAGGACAGCTTGATAAAGGAGCTAAAATGATCTCAGAAGTTGTAAGGTCTGTGAGAATTGAAGGATTTTAAATCAATAGATGAAACAAAGATGAACATGGAAGTACAAGTAGGATTAGCTCAACTTAGTTCAGAGTTCAGCAGTGAAGGAAAGGAGATCACAGTGAGCTCTTTTGCAGAATAGTCTTACTTTGGAAGCAATATTGAACTTGTGGGGAAAAATGTCTTTGCTCTTGATAATTAATTTTATATTCAGTTGGCCACTGGCAAGGTAGGAATTCAGAGCTTTTTTTTTTTGCTTTCCATCTCTAATATGTCAGTTTCAAATTCCTTAGCACTGCTTAACTAATATATAGTAAATGTGTACTATTTCCTCCTGTGGATGACAATGAAGATCAGTCCCCAAATACAGCTGTTGATTTCATGTGAAATGTACTTAGCATTGGATTGATTCAAAACTTTGGAAAACTCTAGGATTGCATATATTGAACAACAGGTTCAAAGCTTTGGTTTTCTTCATGCATGTGTTTAGTGAGTAGTTTCTTCAAAGGCTCCATTCACCTCACTTTCCCACTTTTCTGAAGGATTGTAGGTAATTGTACTGGGGACAGTACAGGAATCCATGGGACAAAAAAGGTGTGTTTGTCATACAGCTGACTGCTGCCTTCTTGTACTGCTGCTCCCTCAGGTGAGGGAGACTGAAAGAAAGACAATCTTTTTGCCTGGTTTTTTTTTTTTTTTTTTTTGGTTGGTTGGTTTTTGTTTGGGTTTTTTTGTTTGTTTGATTGATTGGTGTTTTTTTTTTTTCCTAAGGGAAAGTCTATCCAACTTGTTGAACATCTTTCTATTAAAGAGGAGATGATAGTTTATTCATGCATGGCACAAATTTTTCACTTGCCTAAACATAAAATACTGGAACCATGACCTTGTATGCATCTTTTTGTTTGCCAGAGATTCATAGTCTGTTAGCAGCTCAGAAGTCAAGCTCTCAAGCAATCCACTTCTGAAATCCTTGATGACCCAAATGATACAACCTTGTTGCTGCAGTAACAGTAATTCAAGTCTCCCTTGTGCCACAGGAGCTAAAATATAACCCCTGACTAATGTGCCCAGCTTTGTGAAGTAGTAGCAGCTTTAACAATTGGAATTTCCATTACTTGTTTCCTTCCACCTTAATTTAGCATTGACACTAGTGGCTTTTATTTCATTCACTTCATGTCTGTGCACTCCCGAGCATGCGGTTGTGGCTCTCCCAAAGCCAGTCCACTGTAATACGCACAGCATGGTCTCCTAGCACGTGTGAATTGTTTCCGCTGGTGTAACATCTCTGCTGGGCTTGTGGAAGGACAGCTCTGCTCGGGCTCAGAGGCATTTGCTGAAGGTGGTGGCACTCTCCTGTGCCTGGTACCCATCCAGCTTCCTTGCAACTGTTCCCATCAGTCAGCTGGGAATAGCCTGGGGCAGGAGGGGGGCTGCCTGGGGAGCTCTGGAAAATCCTCTGATTTGGTATGTGTAGAGAAAATGTCACCCTGAGCCTGGAATGTGTTTTTTGTTTAAATGTCACCCCTTACATCAGTGACCTCATCTGACTCAGCACTCAGCCCAGCTCCTCTCTGAAGGGAGGGAGCTTTGAACAAGTCATGGATTTTGACATAGCCAGAGAATGTAGGGAAGAAGGCACACCAAGAGAAACAAAATTTGAGCAAACAAAAAATTATTTTTGAAACAGACTAACAGGCAATTATGTAAAGCAACTTAAAACCTAATCTAAACATCAGAAGCCTCTGAAAAGCAAGGAAACTGACAGTTCTGTACACACAGTTTATTTCAGCCTCTGGTTTCCCAGAAGGTTTTGCTGAGGTTTGTGCTGGTAGCTATGGCAGCACTGTACCTGCTGCACTGATGTCTCACCTTTGAAAACAGGGCAGGGCTGAAACAGCCATCTGGGTGGATCACCAACTTTGTTATTTAGAGGCTGATTGTACTGGAAGTCTGTAGAAGGTGAGACCTGTGCTAAGGGTGTCCCTAACAAGTGGACCTGTGACTACAGCATGAGCTTCTGTAGCATTTTAGCTTCATTATTAGTAGCAGAGCTTTCTTCAGGCAGGCAGAGGGGATACAGACACTGAGAAGGCTTAGAGCAAGAAAACTCTGGAATATTCTTTATCTGAATTGTAACTGGTAGCGATAGTGCAGATGCATGAAAGAGCTGTGGTCCTGGTGTGTTGAAGGGAAATGTTGGCCAGGACGCTGGCATATCCTCTACACTTTCCTTTTAAAAATGCCAAGCTATGCTGAACATTTGTGCAGACATGGACAGAAACCAAAGGAGTAGGAACAAGTGACCTCAGTTTAACATTTCATTCAAATGACTGAGTCCCAAATGCAATGCCTGCTCTCGTTTCTTAGCTCGCCACTCAGCCTGAAGGATCTCTCAGATCCTTTCAGATGTCCTGATAAGAAAATAACATGTTAGAGATGTGGAAGTAGGACAGAAGCACAGTGTTTGATTAAACAACATCTCTGTTTCTTAGTGCTTAGCTCTATTCAGTTTGTTGTCTGGTTTTATTCTGTTCAGAGTTTTGCTTCCCCCCCCCTTTTCTGTTATTTAGACAAATAACTGAAGATTTAGGTATGGGAAGGTAACATGCACAGAATTTTAAGTCCATAAAACTGTGGTCTTTCTTCTAATACTTATTTATGTGATACTGTCTTTAGTAGTGAAGCAATGACTTGTTATGTTTATCTTACTCCTGCTTTTATTCTGTTCTCCTGAACTCTTGAAGTGGAGCCAAGAAAGGGCACTAAAAGCAACAGTGAATTCCTAGGAAAAAACCAGCAGTGAATTCCTAGGAAAAGTAAAAGTACAATGGGAATATACCTTCAAACAAAAAACCAGTACTTGATAAACTGGCAGGCTAGGAAACTCTGCCATTTTAAGTCCAACAAGTCAGTTTTGCCTCTCCTCAAAGTAATCATCCAAACATCAATGGTTCTGGACTCAGAGAGGACAGGTTATAAATACTCTTAATGTAAATGTACCTTCGAGGTATTTGTGAGACATCAAAACCCTGCTTTATTCTCAAGCTGTATCTTGCTATTTGCTTTCATTTTGGATGGGGCCAGTTCCACTGGCTTAGTGCAACTTTTATTTAAATCTGTGTGAATTGCTGTGGTTTAATGTGGATCTCTGGCTAAAAGAGAGGGTCATATGGTTTAGTCTAGTGCCTATGTGGAGATTTATTATTCCCTTGTACAAATGGCTTTTCTGGCACTGTGAATGCTAGACAGAAGCTTCTATTGCTTCATGGTTTTGAAAAATTATTGACCATCTCCTTAGACAAAGACTGAGTTTCTGGTAGTGTTTGCTCTCTGCTGTTTTGTAACCAGATATTTGTCATGTTTTAAGGTAGGTGTATTGGCAGGGTGATCAATGTTCAAGCTGAGCTGTCTCACTCTAGTGCATTGTGTGGGTTTGCTTGTTTTTTTGATTATCAAAGTAGAGCCCATGTTTGGGGGACATTCCCCCCCACACACCTTTTTAAATATAATGGCAATTTCTTTCTGACCAGAGGATAAGGGAGGATAAACACTGCAGAGATACAGAAGAGGGGTGAGTGTTATTTAATGTTTGTATCTTTACCCTGAGAGCAGACATTTTTTGTTTATATCTGCAGTTCTGCCAACAGCTTCTTCCCTACCCTCGTGCCCTCTATATTTTAGCAATTTCCAATCTAGGGCAGAAATGCTATCCAGCATTACTGAACAAGGGTTATAGTTTTATGGAACTCCTAAGAACTGGAATGATGTAAACTATGAAAAAATCAAGGAATTACTTAAAGCAGCAATTAGGTAACGATTTGTATTCTTAGACTTTAATACGAGCGTCACACCTTTAGAAGACTTGTATTGAAATGATGAAACAGGTATGTAGTGAAACTGTGCTTTTATGACAGAAATTATTAGAAGTATCCCATGATCTTTCTGTGTTCAGAAAAAACAAATGTTAATTTTTCCTAGGAAAAGCAAGGGCTGTGGAACTAAGAGCTGAACGTGAAGTTGTGGGATTTTTTTTTTTTTTTGGTGATGCTAAATACATGTAGTATATGCTTTTTTCAGTTTAACAAAGCATTGCAAAAGGAAGTTAACATTTTCGTGATGCCTTTTCTGCTATATATGTGGAAAGATTTATATAGAAAGAACTTCTATTATATGTCACAGTGCAAGATACCTATGTGCTGAAGCAGAATTTAAAAATGGCTTTGTAGTTGTTAACAGGTTAGTGAAGAGACTCGTGTGTTTGGGATTTTAGAATGGGATTTTGTTTGCTTGTTTTATTAAAACATGTGTTTTGTCCATAAAGTAACTGAGCAGCATGAGGGGCTTGAGGAGCCTAGAAAGATCTGTCCCCTTCATGGGGACTATATTAGACCTCTGAGTCATGAAGTCTTTGCATAGTAGGTGTCTGATTACAAACCTTTTATGGGCCCTACTCAGCTGGGATATCAGCATCTGCATTATAGCTCCCATCTATTCTTAGGTGGTATCAGAGCACGACTGAACAGGCAAGGCAGAGCGAGAATTGCTTTCTTTTATGTAAAACCTTTCCCTGCTCTCAGTCTGTTTTTTCACACTTTTTTCTGTCTGCCCCGTCCTTCTGTCCTGCAGTGCCCTGTTGCTGCCTGTGAAAGTGGTACAACATGGCTTACAGTGTGACTCTGAATGGACCTGGACCGTGGGGCTTCAGACTGCAAGGGGGCAAGGACTTCAACATGCCCTTGACCATCTCCAGAGTAAGTGTGCAAAAAAACCTTGTTGAGCTTGTTTGGGTTGGAAAGTAGCACATTTGTACACTTTGACCTGGCCTAGCAGAATTAAAGATCTTTGCACCTAGGTGTGAATAAAGACAATATAGTGTGAACTAGAAATGTGCCAGTTTGAAGTACAACCTGGCATTGATAATGCCTCAGGAAGACAGTTCCCGTTAGTATATTTGTATGGATGGTGACACTGTCTCTTTTAAATAAGCTTCCAGTTCTATTCTGTACAATGTTGTCTCTGTTTCTGATGATAGGGGCCTCACTGGTGCAGTTTGGGGGGAAGGGAATAGGACAACTCTGAATGGGAATATAGAATTATATTTCTAAAAAATAAACGCATAACTGCTTATAAGTATGTGAAGTCAGGTGTTAAAACTGAAAAAAGACAAGGATGTGTCCCCTCTTGTGATGGGATGCAATATTTGGATAAAAATTAGACATATCAAGCAGAAGACTCAGTGGTACTTAAAATACTGTCTTAAATTATGCAAAAGCCTTCCATTTGCAGCTGACAAACAGCATGGATTTAATAATTAATTACTTGGTGTATCTGTCAATTACAGCCATGTATCTCTGAGATGCCTTTTCCTTTTCTCTTCCCCTTGAAGCATTATTTTAAGGTGTTGCGGTTCAGTACTCCTATTACCTGAATTAGCTCTATTTCTTAAATATTTTTAACATTGAATGGTTTTCATGAAATTTGTGTTTCCCTTACCTATTTTTCTCTTGTAAGACAGTTCTGTGTGATTTTTGGTAGCTCCCTTCTTCTTTTCTTGCTTCTGACAGTCTCAAATCTGCTCCAGAATGTTCAGATCTTTCTGGAGAGGTCTTGGCTCCTCCACAGATCACCTGCAGAAGGCTTATTTTGCAGTACAGTGAGAAGAGAGGTTACTTACATAACAGTATGTAAGAGAAATACCAGAAAGATTTAATCAGACAAACAAGTAGAATGCAAATAAAAAGTCTGCTCCACTACAAAAATAAGAATAGTAATAAAAAGCCTCCTACACTGCTTTTAAAACCATGTTGTTTTTTTCATAAAGAAAAAATACAGTCTGTTAAGTTGTGGGTACGAAAGGTATATCTCTGCAACAAATGTGATTCAAAGTCAGTGGGTGAGCTTCTGAAATCTTAGCTACGCTATTTCATATTCATCCTGTGAAACTGTATCATCTGGTCTCCCTTGTTCTTATGCACATTATCTCATTCTTGGAAGACAGAGCCACGTTTACCTTAATATATGATGATGAGACATACTTTTCATAACTCCTTTTTCAGCATAGTAATTGCAAAGAAGGCTGTTCTGGCAGTTTTATCAAAAGCAAACAAGCAAAAGACAACCTAAAATACCGCCCATCTACAAAAATAAACTCCCTTCATAAACTCAGATTGATTTTGCTCCTGCAAATATTGTTGGTATTTCTTTTCTCATCCCACCCAAGGTAAGTACAGAGAGGTGTCATCATTTTTTGTCATCCTATTTTTGTAGGAGTTTTCGTGACACTTTGCAGCCTGCACTGTATGGTGTTGATTATTTTCTTCTAAGTCATTCAGTCATACCTAGAGTCTGTCAGCCATGGGCCAGGGCTGTAGCACTTGCAGTGTATGTGACACAATCAGTAATGAAAAGCCAATTGTTACCCAAAGAGCTCATTGTCTCAGATTGTAATCTGTGAAAGTATAGACACCATGCCCAAAGGCTGTATGATTCTAATGAGGCTTTTGAGATCATAGGAGGAGCAGAAGTGAAACTGCAACAGCTGAATTCCCAGAGGTGTGCAGGAATTAGCTCTTCACAGACCTGACTGCATTTTCAACCATAGCAGTGTCAGAAAGCACGGTTAAATGTTTTTAAACCCTTCCCACTGAGGCCCAGCTTTTAGCTGGGACTACAGCTTTGGGATGGGATTGGATTTTAGAGCCTGCCTTATGAGGGCAGAAGCAGACATACAGGAATTAACATAGCCTCTTTCAGGGGGAGCTGGGATAGTTATGCCTGCTGGTTGTGATGTTTATAATTGGAGCACAGTGTAATACCTGACTTTTGATGATAATCTCGCTTTTTCTTTATCATCTATCACATAAATATGTCTCCAAACAGATCAGAAATTTCAGTTATAAGTGAGTTGACCTATGAACTCAGCCATAATTGCAGTCTTATTGAGGTGGGAAAAGGGAAGCTGTACTTACAGCTACTCCTGGTGGGGAGGAGGGGAGAGAAGATAGCTGTAAGGAAGATCTTGGAAAGGGCACATGGCTCTAAATGTTGCTACAGTGGATGCTGTACACCTATTTATGGACTGGTTTTGATCCACAGCTGCCCTGAGATGAGATTAGACTTTCTATGTGTAAGATGAGTCCTAAACTCTAAATACTTCAACGTAAAGAGTATTATTATTGCTTTTAATGTGCCATGGCAGATGTGCCATGATCTTTTTGGCTACAATGTCCTTCTAAGCCTGCAGACTGGGTTTGCATGCAGACACGTTCATTGTGCTCTGACTGCCCCCAATTAATTAGACTGTCTGTGGGTGGGCCACAGAGAACAGAAGGGTTCCTCCTTTTTCATGTAGGCTCTCTGTTCTTCTGTCATGCTGCAAGAGCACTGCCTCTAAGCTCCTGAGCAAAATGATGGAAAGAGTCTAGCACAGCAGGGTTGTTCATCCCATCTTTAGTATTAGACCAAGATGTTTCCAAGCACCCTCTCAAAAGAGGGCACCAGTATTGTGCCACTATGAAGCTATCCCATGCATAGACATAAGTACCTGTTGACCTGCACTCTGTCAGCCAGCTCTATACAATTCCCACCCACCTCACATTTTACCTGGAGAACAGAGGAGAAATCCTGAAGATCTTTGAAACCTGCTGAGAAAAGCACAATGCAGGTTCTTAACACAGTGGATGAAGGGAATTAGGCAGAGCTGTTTGGCATAACCGTTCACTTCTAAAGAAATCTCTTAAATGGTGTGTCACTGTATTTTCTTCCATTCAGGTAGGCCCAGGTGATCAGCTCATTGCTGAATAGTCAACAGCATAATGCACAGGTGTCACAGTCAGTCAGCTGGGTGACAGGTGAAGATGTGTTCCCCTGAAATGGATTGTTCTGCTTATCTGTTCTTTATCTAAAAATAAATGCCTGACTAACATAGGGGATGGGAACAAGAAAACAGGAGACAAAAACAAGTAGGGAAGAGTTATGGTCGCTCTGCAGCTTTCACACGCCTTTAACAATAGCATTGGGAAATCATCTGTAAACTATTTTTCCAGTCCCCACCCTGCAGACCATTGTACCACCAGAAAAATTCTGTTATGAGATGTCAAATTCTGTTATGAGATGTCAAATTCTGTCATGAGATGTCATGAGCAGGTAGCAGACATAGGAAAACAGTATTGACAGACTTAATAAAGCTAAGCATCTGTCAGCCCTGCTGAAATGAATGAGACTTGCACGTTGTTGGCAGTGCTAAGCACTGCCACCAGTGGCATGATCATATACATAAATCTGGTCTTTCCAAATTGACGTGGGCAGCAAAGCTGTTTATTTTCTCTGACTGCTTGAACTGTCTGGAAGCAAGCAGAATTCATTAATTTTCTAGACCTAATCCTCTGTAAGAAGGCTTTTGGACATAGTTAATTATCTAAGTGCTCGGTTGCCATGTTACCTAAGATGGTACGATTGTGCATGGTTGGACGCAATAGCAGAACGTCTTCATATAATTCTGAATCTTTATTTCTGAACAGTAAACTTTTCTAGTGAGACAGGCTGGCTTGCAGGTGACGCAGTGAGCTGAAATGTGTGAAGGAGCAATCGTTTTCTGAGAGAGTGGAAATATTGTCTAAATCACTGTGGTAACTCATGACTGGTATATTCACTCTGTGGTTATCTATACAGTTATGAATTTCCTAATAGAGAGTTTTTTTAGCTGCTTGGGATCCAAATCAAAAGTCAGAGCCCAAAACAGGAGATAATGTTTAAACAAAACAAAAACATTCAAGAAGTATTTCTCTTTATTAGATTAGGTGATGAAAAGGTTGAAATCTGGTAAATATGTAAGTCCAGGGAGAGAAAATAGCAAACACTGCTACAAAAAGAATTAAATTAGCTGATCTGTATACTGACTCTGCTACAAGCAACCTGAAACAGCTTTTTGAATCTGGGGGAAAACCCTGGTCTAGCATTTTGCAGTCTGTCTCTGCAGGAGCAGGAAGGTTTTTTTCTCAGAGTTGTTAGGCTCTTTCCTTTTATCAGCATCTCTTGCTGATTGCTTCCTGTCCCTCCTCCTCTCCCTAGCATACATATGCCAACCTCTGGCTGTCACTGCCTTTGCTTTAGAGGAGCTATGTGAGAGTATTCATTTCCTGTGGGCTGTTCCATGTAAGTGCCTTACAACAGGCAGCTGAGGAGGGAAGGCAGTCCCTCTCCATTTTTTCATTTCTATTCTTGAACGTGGGGAAGCCTCAGATGATCTGGGTCAGGCTCTGTGCGTTCTGCAGCTGTCCTTTGAAAGGCCATGTGGTGCTTTACATAAACTATAATCAGAAAAATGCAGTTTACCTGTATTGAGTGAAGTGAAACAATTCAACAAGTTCTCTTGAAGTGCTGGTACCATATCACCTGTTAAGCATCCACCTTTGGTGAACCAGACTGCTGAGTAGCTGTCCTAAAGCTTCAGCTGAGGGTTTGAGGGGGGGTTTGAGAGAGTTTTTCTTAATCTCCAAATATGAAGTCCTTCACAATACCAAAAGCTATATATTAGTATTTATAATAGTTTATATTCTATTAAACTAACAGATAAGTCTGATGTCCTCTAGAAGTTTAGGAGTCTTCTTCTTCAACCATTACTCAGTAGAAATGTTTCCTTTGAAGTTCAAATGACTGAGTCAACTTCTGAGAAGGAAGTGAGCCATTTAATATAATGACTGTCTTATGCCTTGACAAGCTAGTAATTTCTTACACCTTAGCAGCTTCACAT